ATTAATTATCAATTAATGTTTAGTTATTTTAATCATAAATTTGACAATAATTAATAAGGGTAAAAATGAAAGGTTATGTCTAATTTATGTCTTAATCTTCTTTTCTTAACGAGTGTGAAACACCTCAACAATTTAATTAATTTGAAATGGAGGGAGTACTATATATTTAATGTAATTTATTAGTGAAATCTATGGATGATAGGATATACACAATGTTATTTCTATCTTTATAGGATAGAAAAATTATGTTGATTTTTGATAGACTCTCCACCTAAAAATATTTTACAAAATTGGTTGAAATAAAAAACTAAATGAAAATACAAAAGAAAAATATTAACACCAAAAATAATAAGGATAACAATGTAAAAGAAATAACAGTAGAAAATAAGGTAATGGTAAAATAATATTACTATATACTCGTTAAGGAGAGCGATAACCGATAAAGTGTTCTAAACTAGAACTATGCCCCTCACCCCCTCACTCCACTTAAAAGAAAGAAATTGCTCAACCTCCTATTAATTTTCTATCCTGATTTTCGACTTTCAAACTTCTATCTAGGGTCACATCTTTGGTATATTGATGATACACTATGTCATGCATATCTAATTATCTTTTTCAGTTCTTTTTCGGTCTACCTCTATGTAACACCCCATATTTTAGTTAGTTGAACTAGTGAGTTCTAGAGTCTTTGGAAAGAGTTTTGGTGTGTCGTATGAGGGTTAAAATCAAGATAAATGGTTCCTGTACTTAGAATGACATGTTTAGGGGTTAAACGTCCGGGTACGACTCCCCAAGGACCCCTCAGGGGTCCTTGAGGAAGACCCCAAAACTATCTAAAAGTGTGATTCACTATTGCAAACCACTCTCAGTAGACTGATCTACTCCATGTGGTTCATGGTCGTGGATCAGGCCTGAGTTGGCCTGCAAGTTTTGAGTCTCTGACCCAAACCACGAGACCAATCCACGGTCCGTGGATGGGTGGTCAAGTCGTAGGTGCTGCCAGTTTTTCAGTTTTAGTTTTTAAGTTAGTATTTAGGGGTTATTTTAGTAATTAGTTTAGGGGTTAGGAGGGGCGATTAGTTAGTTAATTTACCTCCTATAAATAGTTAATAGACCCTAAACTAATCGCTTTAACTCATTCATCTAAAGACCCCCAAATTACTCCCAAGAAATCCCCTCTCTAGAATAGAAGAAGAAGAAGAAGAAGAAGAGAAGAGAAGAGGGCAGCAACTTAGGGTGATTTTCCCCATTGATTCAAGTTTTGTTTGGGGATTTGATTGAAGGTATGTGAAGCTTATTCATCCATGGGTTCTTTCACCCATGAAGCCCCAATAGATTCCCCCAATTGTGAACTCAAAAACCCAATTCTAGTTAGGGTTGTGATTGCATTGTGGGTAGGGCTTGGGTGTGATTCCAATCTAGTGGATATCACCCAATTATGATTAAATTGTCTTTGTTTAATGATATTATGATGAATTCATGTGATTTCTATGATGAACCCTAATCTAAATTGATGAATGTGATTATTGTGGGTTGATGTCATTAGAGGCAAAATTGAAGGTTCTAAAGTGATCTTCCTATTTCAATGTCTTGAATACTAATTGATCTTAGTTAGGATCATCTAATCATGAATTGAACTAGACTTAATTGAATAGGAATGATCTTGACTTGTAAAAGTTGGAATTGAACCTTTATGATCAAGTATGACTAGAATCACCTTCTAAGGAACAATGTGATTGAATAGCTTGTAATTTAGACATGGATCATGATAGAATGAAGTTAAGCTGGAAAGTAGGGCTTGTAGCCATCATTGTTAGGCTTTGGGGGTAAAGTCAATATGATGTGATCTTGTGGTGTAATTATCCTCCTCTTATACACTTAGACATGAATATGCTAGGAGATTCAAGTTCTCTCACATAGAAGGATTCTAGGTTGACCTACTAACCTAAAATGAATCAAAGCATGTTAGACTAGAATAGCTTGAAGTTGTGATATATGATCCCTTCATGTATAGCTTGGCTTAGTATAACAAGACCAATGTTGATAGCTTAGGATGAAGAGCTATTCTCTCCTAAGGGATAACTTGACTTAGCATTGTAGGATGCATGTCATGGTAGCATGAGTTAGTAGTAGTCATGGTAGCCTAGGATTGATGATTTATACTCTCTTATGGATAAGCTTGAACTAGCATTGTTAGGATGCATTCATGGTAGTTTGACTTGGTTTGGCCAAGACCATTTCATGATAGCTTTGGGATAGAGGACTTAGACCCTCCTAAGGTTATCTTGAGTTAGGATTAGTCATGGTAGCTTAGGAGTCTACAAGCCAGAGAGGCCACTTTAAGATGCCTAAAAGCTCATTTGGCCAGAGCCCAGAGTAGAATGAAGTCTCATGCGGATAAAGGAAGAACTGATAGGTCCTATGTAGTGGGAGATTGGGTTTACATCAAGTTACATCCTTACAGACAGACCTCTCTTAAATCCCATGCTTTCCAGAAACTTTCAGCCAAGTTTTTTGGTCCTTTCCAAATCCTTGCAAGGGTGGGTCCAGTTGCTTACACCCTCCAGTTACCCTCTGACTCTAAAATTCATCCCACCTTCCATATTTCTCAACTCAAAAAGAAGTTGGGATCCCATATTGTTTCTGCTACTCTCCCTGAAATTCATGTTGATGCTGGCCACATACTTCTTACTCCTCAGGCCATTCTTGATAGGAGGATTGTCAAGAAGCACGGCAGACCTGCTACTCAGTTGTTAATCAAATGGTTCAATGCAGCAGACGAGGACAGCACTTGGGAAGATTTTCAGTCTTTCACTCAGCAGTTTCCACATTTTAATCCTTGAGGACAAGGATTAGTCGAAGGGGGGGAGTATTGTTACATGCCAATTAGTTCATTTCATTAATTCCAATTTGTATATGCTTGTATTTTAGCTAAGTGAAGCAGTCACGTGACTAAGCATGGGTGTGAAACTGAAGCCGTTAGGAAATGTTGTTAGAAGAGTTAGTTATAACTAACTCTCGGAAATAGTCCAGCTACATATAGTTGATCTTTCATTGTAATGGGTATCAATTTAGAGATCAATAAGAAAATTCTCTCTCCTTTCTCTTCTATCAGTTTTCTCTTTCTTTGAAGGGAATCGAGCACAGCTGTTCAAGGGTAATTCAATACTTTTCCCTTTAGGCTTACTCATCTTAATTCTGTTTGTATCCCTCCTAAGGTTATCTTGAGTTAGGATTAGTCATGGTAGCTTAGGGTTGAGAATCACACTCTTCTATGGATAACTTGCATTTGTCATATAGTACACTTATAAGGGTAGCATGACTTAGTTGGTTTATGACTATTTCATGGTAGCTAGGATAGGACACTTGAACCTTTCCTAGAGTAGCTTGGACTTGCATGTTAGTGTGTATTCCAAGGTAGTTAGCTTAGCTTAACCTAGTTATGTTAGTAAGATGATAGCATGGTCTAGCCTATTAGGGGGTTATTCCTTGGTAGCCTTGAATAGAGGTAAATAGAATAGAGGGATTAGTCCCCAACTAGTGAACCTTCATGATAGTTTAAATGGGTACTTAGTGTGGGTAGTAGTCTGGGGTGCTATCCATACATTGCACAAGTATGACTTAAGGCTAGGTATGAAGGGTTCCCACACATAGTATGACTTAGCTTGGGTTGTTGCCATAGTTGCCTTCCAAGATATGATTGACCAAGGTGGTAGGTTCCTTTGTCTATATGAAGTAAGCTTATAGTAAGACCAAAAGTAGGGTGAATATGACTAAGATGATTTCATGGCTATGCTTAGTGTGAATGGTAGTATGGGATGCCTTTCATGCATTGCACAAGTGTGTCTTGAGGTTCCTTAGAAGTATGGTGCCCTTATGGTAGAAAGACTTATGACTTAACCATGCACATAGACTATGATTAAGATGACTAAAAAAGGGATACTTGGCTTGGGTGGTATTATGGGATGCTATTCTTGCTTTGCACTTGTATACCTTTGAGGTTACTTGAGAATGGTGCTATTATGGTAATGATGACTAGAGTCAATTATGTTGATATGATTATGACTTATCTCCTATGCTCATTAAATATATCTTATGTGACTTGTGTTTATATGATGCTTATTGGAGACCATGCTATGACTATGATGATTATATTGTGATTATGTTATTGTCTCTTATGCTTATGTCTTATGTTGACTAACCATTTGAGATGCTCTTATGATGTTGTGTTAGCTTTCATACTTAGTACGTTTTGTACTAACGCATATTGCCTACATTCTAACCAAATGTAGGGTTGGAGGCTTGAGTTGCTTTGGAGGCTAGAGTTTCAAGGATTTAGAAGAATTGAAGAATTGGTGAGTCCTCATAGCTTCGAGGACGAACCATTTATTTCCTTATGTCATTTCTTTATGTTTTTAGACTTTGTATGGGATGTGTCCCAAAGACTTTTATTCATGAGTTTAAATGGATGGTTTGAGACAAATGTTCTAGTACAGACTTCCGCTTGATTTTATGAAATAAGACTTCGATTGTAAAAGTTTTCAATTTTCCCGTATTTTCTATTATCTTATGTTAAGAATGTGCTAAGGACTTGTATGCGACCCCTTTGGGGTCAACTACGCTATGTTACGACTAGGGGATGCTCTCGAGTCGTCACACTCTATTTCTCCTTAGTCTTAATATTGCTAACTTCTCACACCTTATCACTGAGACATTTACACTCCTCTCCTTAACACCAACTTTCATTCTTGACAAATTTTCTAGGCATCAAACTGCACACATCTTCAAACATCGTAGTTTCACGTGCATAAATATTTTGGGCATAACCCCTTCGATTAAATTTATTAGCTTCCTTTCTCAAATAGAAAACACGTAAAAATGTTTTGTGGCTTGCTTCACTAAATTCGTAAGACAAGTGTATTGGAAAAACACCATTAATGTCTTCTTGATTATGTGAAACACCAATTATTTTGAAATAAAATGAAAAGGTTAAAACACCATTTATTTTGAAATGGACTAATATTGTTGAGTATTGATCCATCAATATTTTGATTACAAAGAGGACACTTCCCTCCATTTTCATCTGAAATCTATAGTTGTAGAAATTGTCTTAAACAGAAGAAACCAACAAATAAACATCAAAATATTACAAATTTCCTTGTAATGGTACACATATTACAGCTTCCAAAATTGTTAGTTTACCTGTAACTTGTCTCAATTGTTTTTCAATATTTTCAATTTAGCTTAATCTGCTCAAGCAGCAATCAATGGCTTGTTTTCCAGCAATAAGGAATCTGAATCCTCCTCCGAATACGTCAACATCCTTTCTAGAAGTTCTTGGATATCAAGTGCAATCACCATCACTGTGATGCTATTCCGGCCTCTCCAGCATCCTATAGCGATAGTTGATGCATCCACTTGAGGTTCCGACAAGGTCTTATTGTCTAAAAGAAACAGAGAGCAAACTTTACGAGAGAAACAAACCAATCGTGTTTACTCAAATGAAGATACCAGATCACAACTAACCTTTATTCAAAATCACTGCACAACAACCAAACTGCAGCTTTGAAGCCTTTTCCCGAAATTCAGCATCCACAAAATCACCAAATTTAATGCTCTTGTACTGCAAAAGAAGCTTGAAATCTACAGGAGATGCATACACTATTTTTTTGGTAATATGTGGCAGCAGCAATGGCACTCCTTCAGATGTTATGCGGAATACACATTCTGTAGAAACATCTTTTTGCCGCTCCTGCAACATTGAAAAGAGAAAATGGAAAGGTTATCTAATAGTGCAATGGATGGAGGTCACGGGAAAGAATGACATAAAGGGTCATTCAAGTGGTGCCCTCGTAGTTTGCTACTTGTTTTTAAGAGGGCTTGGCAGTCTTGCTTTTTCCACCTCCTTTCCTTTCTGGGGGTTGGGGGATGTAGGATGCGAAGTTCTTTCTGAAGAAAACTTCGTAAAAGATGGATGTTCAAACACATGCACATGAATCTATAGAATGACATGAGCTCAAAGAACAGAAATCTCAAGTGTCAAATTTGAGCGACTTACAAACATCTTGAGCCCAACAGCAGCGATCTTGAGCTGCTCACCAGCTAGAAAATTGAGTTCAAGAACTTCTTTCACAGATTTAGATACATAATAAACTCTTTTCACATGGTCGATATCAGTATTCCTCACAATCAAATGACCTTTGAATGGAAAGGATTCCTTGATGCCATAGAAGGCCTTTATCTGACCCACAGCTGCCTCCTCGTGGTAAAATAATATTGGGTCAATCCCTCTCCATCTTCCTCGCATCTGTAACTTTCTACTCCCTGTAACCAACTCAGGACCAGCTTTTCCATCACTGGAAGGTTTAATCAGCTCCGGCCTTTTTTCTTCCACTATTTTACTGGGGTCAGTATCCAGTGTAGCTTCGTCATTTCCATTTTCAAGAATATCAGCATCAGCCATAGTCACTTCAGATAGTTGATTACCTACAGAATCCACTTCCTCAACTTCATCAGCATTTATATTTTTGACCTTAGGTAAACTTTGTTCTTGGAAATTGCCCGCGTGGAAGTTATTAACTGTTGAATTGTTTATTTGCGCTAAACGTGTTTAAATTTTTTATAACTTTCATTGCATTTCATGGCATATTCCCTTGTATGTATAGTATATCAAAGGACGGTTTTGCGGAACCGCAACCGGACTTTTTTATACTCAACCCTTTTTTGGAATGATCGACAATTTATTGGTTCGTCATACGTCCAATGGTTGTCGTGAATTCCAGCCTAAGTTGTCAACTTGGGTTCCCGGTCTTTCAAAAGCCAATCTTAGTCAACTAGCGTAGAGCGAAACCAAATCCCGACTTTTAGCGCATTTTAAACTAAGATGACCCAACACCCGAGGCGTGTTTGGCCCATTAGAATCCCACCTTGTGTCTATTTGGCCCATTTTGGCAATTAAAAGACAATCATACTTATGTGTTAATTGAAGGATGTATATGTATTCTTAAAACAAATCAATTATCTAATGGGGGTGGGGGAAACTTACCTTTGTTTGTTTTTCTTGTAGGATGAATCCAATCCATGAGCCTCTGAGAACCCGAATGGTGACCATACCTGACCTTTATCTCCAAGTTTGGTGAAAGTTCATGAACATCGGGGACAAGAGAAAAGTTCAAAGACACATAGGCAATCTCCCGTCATTGATGGAAATGGTGGCTTGCCCCTGTTTAATTGGAACGATGGTAAAGTTTTGGGACAACGACAATATGGTATTTCGGTTCGGGGAAGTGGAAATGACGCCAACTATTGAAGAAGTCCTTGCAAGTTACGGGAGTGTCGATATGTCTAACAAGAGGAAGCGTCAACCCGATACAGATCTTCTCTTCCCTAAAACATGGGATTTAGCTGAATCAAAGAAAAACTGTCACTCGTCAAAGCCGATTGGATGGACAAGCTGCCCGGGCCAAACATTCCACTTCGAAAGCTTTACTATCGATTCGGACGTGCAAGAGCCTACAAAAAGTTCAAAGAAGAGTTTGTCTCAAAAGGAAAATGAAAGGAGACACGTCCTCTCGCCTTTGCAATATGCCTACTTGGGACGATGGTATTTCCCAAGGGGCCCAACTACACTATCCATCCAAGTGTAGTAATGGTCGCTCACGCTATCTTTTATGGAGTGGGCTACGGGTCAGCAACCAAGTACTACAATTTGGCACCCATGATCTTGGCCGACATTTATAGGGCTTTGGACAAATGTCAAAGCGGAGAGCGTTTCTTTCAGGGATGAAACCTCATACTTCAATGGTGGATGATGAGGCACCTGATCAAAGCACATAATCCAGAAGAACCAGACCCGTTGAGACGATCAGACGAACTTGCAGGTCACGATTGGTGGATGTACCATAATCATTGCAACAAAACTGGAGGTTTAAAATTCTGGTATCCAAGACTTCAAGGGCTAAGAGAAGAAAATGTGCAGTGGTCGATAGAAAGTCTGGTGGTGACAAAGCAAATGGTGATTCGAGCGGGAAACACCCCTTACTTGTATTTGCCGGGTTAAGAGGGACTAGACCATATGCTCCCGGTCGAGTCCTTAGACAACTGGGAGGGAAACAGGAGATTCCCCAAATTACGGACATGAAGAAATTTGCAACCGATCATGAAAATGGACAAGTCTCATATGCTGAAGACATACGTAGAACATGGAAGACCCGAAAGGTATTGGGTGAGCCGGTACCAAACAGATTCCGTCCTGAATGTTCTAAGGATTACAAGGAATGGTTGAAGAAGAGCCTCGCCAGAACTATCGAGCCTGGTCCAAATGTTTCCCATATTATTACAGATGTTGGGGCCAAGCATCAAATTTGACTTCATCGACTCTAAGAGAAGTATGATAAGAATGAGTTGGACCATCAACGCCGACATTCAGAAGACGCCAAAGTCATAGCTCAGTTGAAGCAAGAGCTACGAAGAGCCAGACAATGCATGTCAGAACTAGATGATAGCATGGAGCAGCAGATTAAGTCGGTCGAGAGGTTCAGACATCAAGAAGGGGCTCGGTTGGCAAGTGATCACCTATAGGCGAACATATATGCTATGTGGGAAGAGGTCAACATCGCCAAGAGGGCCAGACTTGGTGAAGGATCATGAGGAACTTGAAGTTTGTTATCATCCCCTGCGTGTGATTGCTTTATTTGTACTTTGCTTTGTAATTTACTTTTCGAGCTCATTTCCCTAATTTTGTGTTTTTCAAACATTTCTGAATGCTGTTAATGAAATATTTTGGGGATATTGAATTGGCTTAAAAAGACATATACATCATTCAATTCGCTAGGCCTACTCTTGGCACAAAAGGGTCACATGCATGTTTAGGATGCGATATTTGTCTGTTTACTTATGTCCTTTAACTATTTATGTGATATTGTTGCTTTGAATGAGGACATTTTTAGCCCAATCCTTTTCAAAAAATTTCTGAAAATTTCCCCAATAACAAATACAAGTCACTACCAAATGTCCAACCAAAATTCCATGAGTCTTAAGTTTCTCTGCCAGAAATAAAATCCTACTACCAGATCCTAAAATATTACTCTGTCATCTCAGAAAAGGTGAAATTGCTGCTAAGATGGAAAAAGGCAAGGGTATCCACATAGAGCTAACTGAAGAGGATTTGAGGATGGAATTGCAGCGGCTCAAGCGAGAGATCCAAGAAACCAGAGAAAGGAGAATATAAGTAGAGTTTGCCACCGCAGTCGCACGAGCAATAAATGCGGCACTAGACGCGGAATTGGCAGCAAAGATGATAAAATGCGATGTTATAAGTAAAAAGACAGTTGTTGTGCGAAAGGAACATGACGTCTTCAAGAATGATATAACTATGAGACTTCAGAAGATATGCGGGAAATTCTCTTTCTTCAATCAAGAAGCCAATAGTGGTCCCGAAGACACTCACCTTGGAGCTACTGAAGAAGATGCCGATGAGCAAATCATCTATATGTCTCCCTTCCTGGGACGTCTGAAAGGAGGAGACAAAAAGATCACTCTCCCGGCTTATGAGCGGACACATAGCGTGGGGGAAAGATGTAAGATCCCGTAGTTTTTTCTCTAATCGTGCATAATATATGTGGCGTAGTATGGCATGGTTATATGAGGTGTATATGACTTTGTATCGTACATTGAAGATTAATATTGCAAGTCGGTGGCAATATCAACGAACTAAACTAAAGTTTTAGGTCAAAGGAACCCCTCAAACAAAGTTTATGAGAAAAAAAATGGCTCCGGTAGAACTTCACCCGTTTGAAAGGTTTAACTTGTCCCATACCTTGTGGATAAGCCTATGACTGTAAGACATGCTAAGAATAGTGTGTTATGAGGTATTATAATAGCACAAGGGTCGTATGTTAAGTTTGGAAGTCAAGAAAATTAGTGAAACTAAAGTCGGCAAAAGTTATCGAAGTTTCTCTAATAATATTTTCTTAACTTTGGGTCAAATGTCTTGGATGTTTTCTCCCAATATACAAAGAGTTAGAAGGCCTATCACCCATTAAATCGAAGGCCTACGAGTCTAGTTTGCAACGCACAAAACCCCGTATCTAACCGACATCGGAGTAAAAAGTTATGAGGGTTTTACTACGGACTGTCGG